CGCGGGCAGTGAGCGGGCGCCCCGCTCCGGAGCCATCGGCTCACACGGCCGCCCCACGCCTCCCAGCCGCCTCGAGGGGGTCCCCGCCACGCATCACCACATTTGCATCCTCGCCTCTCATTGGCTGGCGTCGCGCTTCCCCCTCGCCTGATTGGCCGGAGAGGGAGCAGCCCGGTTTGATTTTCAGCGCGGCTCGGGCCCGGCGTGCCCCACGGCCGGCTCCTCCCGAAGGGGAGGGCGCGATGTCGGCTCGGTCCCGCTCCATTTTCTGTCCAAGCCTTTCAGACACAGCAGGAAGCGCTGGGGTCGGTCACCGGCGGCCTTGTGAGCAGTCCGGCCGGGGGCTGCTCCTCTCCTGCGTTGCTTTTGCACCGTAGTGGCCCGACCGCCACGTCCAGCAGCACCCACCGCCTTCCCATCCGCCGCCGTCGGTTTCCAGAGGAAGCCCCGGCCGCCAGGCCAGGTCCCCTCCTGCCACGCAGCACGGGGGTCTCCTAGCTGGGGTGCAGCTTTTGCAGATCTTCATGAATTAGTAAATATGCATGGCTAATGACATGCTCTCCCATTGAGAGTGTGTAATTAATTCATGATGCACGAGCTTTTATTGTATATAGATGAGCTTTGAAAAAGGAACTGGGAATAAGGAACCGACTTCAGCCTCATTGCCCTGTAAGGATAGGGCAGATGCTGCCACTTCCCTTCTTCCTCCAGCCAGGAAGGGTTTTACTGGGGAGTTTCAGCCTGTCCTTGAAGGCCACGGATCCATCTTCCCCTCCCTAAATGTTGCTCTTTGTCACCGGGGCACTTGGGTGCCCCGTTCCTGAGTAAGGATTAGAGCAGCTGCCAATCACCAGGGCAGCTCAGCTGTGGGTTGCTGGAGCAACCAGATTGGTCATGTGACAGGAAGGGGGCAGGGCTGGGCCCTTATAAACAGCCAGGCCCGAGCCTGGCTAGCAGTTCCCTTTGGGCAGCGTGTGTGTAAGAGGTCTGCAGGAGAGCTAAACTGAGCAGTGTAGCCTGAGCACATAGAGGGCTGCATTATGGTGAAGGCAGAGCGAAGCCTGACCAGAAGGCTTTGGCTAGAGAGCCAGGACGGCCGGGACTTTATGTAGAAGCCGGTAGGCTTATGATTTTGGTTGCAGCTGGTTGGCTCATGATTCAGTTGTGTATATCATCCAGGGGACCGGGTGAGGCTGTAGGGGTGTGAGGAGGCCTCACAGGAGATCCCAAGTAGTCCGGGGGTTTCCTGAGTGCCCTGTGTGGGCACCGAGCAGCGCCGGGAAGGCGTGGCAACTTGGCACCAGCGTGGTGTGGTGTGTGGGGTTGAGACCCCAGCCCGAGAGGGCAGTCTTCGGCCCAGTGAGGGCCTAGGACCCTGAGAAGGGTCAGGGGGCCAGGCACGGCTGTATGCCACCTGAGTGCCAGTGAAAGCCCGAGACAGGGCTGGTGCGTAGGCTCGGAGTGAGCCAAGAGGCCTGGAGGGAGCCAAGGGCGCGTGCAGCGTGGAGCAGGCCCCAGCGAGGGCAAGCGCACAAGAGGTGCGTGGCATAGGGACCCTGAGAAAGGTGGCATGCAGCCGTGCCTGGCCCCTGACCTGAGCCCCAGCGCTGGGAAGCCCGAGACAGCGCGGAGGCAGGCCCAGCGGGAGCCAAGGGCCCGAGCAGCGCGGAGGCAGGCCCAGCGGGAGCCAAGGGCGCCTGGGGGGGCCAGCCGGTAAGAGTGAAGCCTGGGGGGGGCTAGCAGAAGATTGGAGACACAAGAACGTCAGGAACACCTGCAAGGCTTGGGGCGTGCTAAAGGGGAGATAGGAGGCACGCATAGCCCATAAGGTTGGGAGGTGCGCCAAGTCACCCTTAAATATCAGGAGATTATAGGCAGCCTCCCATATTACATTATATAAGATCAAAGACATGGCGGGCGAGAATTATAGGGTGCTAGATCTCCTAATTGCCACGGCAAGGGGGCGCTAGCGGGATCACGGCCGCTCCTAGGCCCCATGCTGTGACACTCTTCAAACCACCCCACGGCTTGAGAGAGTCAAGCGTGTCTGGGGAATTCAAGCTCATAGGAAATACTAAAGCTGCCTCTCAAAGCAAAAGTCAGGCTGCTTGGTTTCCTTGCCCCCTTGCAGTGGGCTCTAATGGCAGCTTCTCTTCCTCTGCATCCAGAGGAAGAGCATCCCATGCTTATAGGAAGAATTATGTCATACTGGTATGTGCATGAACCTGGCCCGCTGAAGTATTTGCACAACAGCCAACAAAGTCAAGACCTGAAATACCGTAAGTACAACAATCCCAGTGGCTAACAAAGCTTATTTTGGTGCACAAGCCCTGAAATGAAACAACCGTGATGCCATTTGTTAGGAGGTTTTTTCATCTCTGTAGACAGCTGAATCTTTGACCGAACCAGGAGCAATGGTCTCAAGTTGCAGCAATGGAGGTTTAGGTTGGATATTAGGAAAAACTTTCTCACTAAGAGGGTGGAGAAGCACTGGAACAGGCTACCCAGACCTGTCTCCATCCTCCTGAGGTTTTTAAAGCCTGGCTTGACAAAGCCTTGCCTGGGATGATCTAGTTGGGGCTGATCCTGCTTTGAACAGGGGGTTGGACTAGCTGTGACCTCCTGAAGTCCCTTCCAACCCTAATTCTTTATGACTCTATGACACTTGAAGGCTCCAAAGCTATCTGCAAGTTTTGTCCTGCCCTTTTCCATGTTATAGGTTACTCTTCTTCCTATTATGAATGAGTGGTTCATACTGGCATGCCTACTTTTTTGTAAAGTATCAGCCCCAAATATCTTTGTGCAATAAGATAATGACAGGCATCAGCTCAGCACTGGATTTGCCTAAGGTCACACAAGAACTCCATAGTTGATCTAGGAACACAATTCACATTTCCTGAATCTGCATGGCAGAGGTAGCAACAAGGTTGACTGAACAAGTCAGAAGGACTCAGTTCAGAGGAGTTTCACAATAGAAAAGCACTAAAGATTTATTTAAAGCAGAAAAAGCCACCTTACCAGGTGGAACTAGAGCCTTTGGAAAAAGCCTGCATGCAGAATGAGTGTCATATGTACCATGCTTAGGATGTATAAACACAGCATAGCTATACCAATGGTGGCAACAGTGGGTAGCAGCCCTAACATAGATCCCATAGGGATCTTGGCATTTTAACTTATGATATGAAAAGGGGATGAACAATAACAAAACTGTATAGAACATGAACACATGGAAGTGCAGGGAGGAAAACTAACTAGGGGAGACTTCTCTCTGCCCTAGGGCTTCTCTTTGGCTGACCATATCAAGTAGCCCATCCATTCCATAGTTTCATAGCTAGTAGGGTCGGAAGGGACCTGAGCAGATCATCAAGTCTGACCCCCTGCCATGGCAGGAAAGAGTACTGGGGTCAAATGACCCCAGTGCGTCTAGCCTCCTCTTAAAGACCCCCAGGGTAGGAGCCAGCACCACTTCGCTTGGAGGTTGGTTCCAGATCCTAGCTGCCCTGACCGTGAAGTAGCGCCTCCTGATGTCTAGCCTGAATTTACCCTCTGCCAGCTTGTGACCGTTATTCCTGGTCACTCCTGGTAGTGCTT